TGTAGTGGGCAAACATTGCTCATCTCTCAGGCAGCCAACTCTGATAACCTCAAATGTCAGGGATGCATGAAACATCATGTTGAGGACTGTAGCTAAGATATTGCACCTTAACATTGGCAGTACAAAGGCTAAACATGTGCAGTGAATGTGCTTAATTCCTGACCTGCACATATCATTCCACGTTTACTCTCCCTCACAAGATGAGGGTAAAGTCACAATAGGCTTACCAGATCATAGGATCTCTCGCTATAGAGCGAGATAACTGGTAGTAGTATAACCCAAGGGTCACCATGCCTCAGACAAGAGAAGAGGTTGAGAACAAGAATCCTTCATGGTAACCTTAGCTGGTGTGGGAATTGAATCCATGCTGTTGGCTTCATTCTGCATCGCAAACCAGTTGTCCAACCAACTGAGCTAAACCAAGTACGGAATCAGCGTTCACTGCAGGAAAAGGTTCATTCTATATGCCAGCTTTACAAGGGTATGCACCGACACTCAAGGCTAGGGGCTATACAATGGGCAGCTCACATGTCCACTCTCTTTCATAGTGCATTGGAGTGCCTTTGGAATAGAATTCTGCTACTTTTGTATAGTTTATTGTGCAGTTAACGTTTGATTCAACATGGCAAGGTTCCAGCTTTGTTTCTTTGTGAGTAGCTTGCAGTCTTCATCTGTGAAGCACAAATAGATTTTATAAGAGTATGTCAAATTCTTCAAATTACCTGTCCTGTTAGACCCAGGTTAACAGAAATCATGGACCAGGTTTCTGTACGTATGAAGAATTATGATTTGTTACAAAAATAGATTCTAGCTACAGATAAACAAGTTTGAATCATCAGCACATAACTTTACTAGTTAAAACTCTAATCCCTTATAACACTCCTCCAACACGTGGGCACAGGCAGACAAAAAAAGACATAGATATTAGTGGAGGGAAAAACTGGGAAGGTAGTTCAATGGCCCTTGTACACAGGGTTCGCTGAGATGTTCCTTTTGCTTGCTACTTCTCAATCTCTCATCTCCAGGCACTTATGCTTCAGGAGGCACACAGTCACAGGTTCACAACTTATAAAGTCTCTGACTTATTGTTAAAAGCTTACAGAAACCGGTGAGGGGAAATAAATTGGCTTTCTTCAAGCTTTAGGTATTTTTAACAGCAGCAAAGGTCCAAAAGACTTTTGACTGTCCATTTCCCCCACACGTGCTGTTCACCTGCCCTAATAATGTTATTGGTAGGCAGGAAACTTTTGTCATGACAGCTCCGCAGGCCACAGGCTACTTGTTGCTAGCTGAACCTCACTTGTCCTCTTACAACTTCTAAAATGATTGATTAAGGTTCTTTCTTAGTAGCCCTAAATTTTAATTGATAAGCTTCAAGGACAATAAGCACGGAGTACTGCCTTCTTTTTCTACTGCTTTGTACTCTGCAGATTGTTCTTCTGGCAAACTGGCAGACACATCCATAGATGTGGCTGTCCAAACATCTTTAGGTCACTTCATCTGTCTAGCTACCTTCTTAAATTAGGTAAAATACCTTTTCATCCTCCACTATATTCTTTTGTAAGATCAAACCCCTTAATGGAATGAGAATCATCCACTTTTACGACCTCTTTCTTCCTTTACTCTGAATTCTTGTTTAACAATGTTTTGTCCTAGTTCTCTATCTTTTTGGAGCTTAGGTTTTAATAATTCCATCTCTCCTTTTTTCTTTCTCCCCAGTTTTCTTTAGTCATCTGTTTCTCCCGTCTCTTCACTTGCCCTTCCATGACTACCGAGTAACCCCTGTGACTAAGCCAGTCTCTATCCATCTTGCCAGCTCATATCAGATACCATGTGACTTCACCTTTTGTACCAGTTTGCCATGAGGAACCTTGTCAAAGCTTTTACTGAAGTCCATGTAGACAACATCAACCACTTTTCCCTCATCAATCATCTTTGTCACCTCCTCCTCAAAAGAACTGGATCAAGTTAGTGAGGCACAACCTCCCCTGCACAAAACCATGCAGTCTATCACTAATAAGTCCATTTGCTCTAAGTGCTTATAGATCTTGTCCCTGAGAATCTTTTTCGAATAATTTCCCTACTACCGACGTGAGACTCACAGGCATGTAATTTCCAGGAATATCCCTGTTACCCTTCTTAAACAATGGGACAACATTGGCTGTTCTCTCATCCACTGCGACCTCACCTATAGCAAACAAGGATACAAGCATGGCTGTCAGTGCTCCATCAATTTGTTCTCTTGTCTCCCTCAATATTCTGCGATGGATTCCATCAGGATCTGGGGACTTATCTACCTTAATACTTTGTAAGACGCACAACACCTCTTCCTTTTTAATAGCAACTCGGCACAGAAACTCGACACACCCTTCCCTGAGATCTTGCATCAATTCCTTCTCTTTGATGAATGCTGACACAAAGTATTTGTTTGGGACCTCACTTACCTCTTCTGGCTCCACACATAGATTCCCTCATTTGTCCTTGAGTGGGCCAATCCTTTCCCTGGCTACCCTCTTGCTTTTTTATATATCTCTAAAAAGCCTTGTGATTCTCCTTAATCCTGTTTGCTAATGACTCTTCATGACCCCTTTTAGCCCTTCTATTTCCTTGTTTAAGTTCTTCCCTATTTTCCGTATGTACTTCAAGTGCTTCGTCAGTTCCCATCCTCGTAGACTTTATGTATGCTTTCTTTTTCTCTTTGACCAAGGCTATAACATCCCTGGTCATCCATGTTTCATATAACATTGCCATACCTATTCTTCGTTCTCGCAGGAACGTGTTGCTCCTGAATTCTTATCAACTGCCATTTGAAATACTCCCACATGTCCAATTTTGATTTACCCTCAAACAGCCACCTCCAACCAACATTCTCCAGTTCCTAGCCAATATTATTGTAGTTCGCCTTCCCCCAGTTTAACACCTTCAACCGAGGACTGCCGTTATCCCTGCCCATGAGTATCTTAAAATTCACAGTATTATGGTCACTACTCCCAAAATGCTCCCCCACTGAAACTTCACTCACCGGGCTTATTTCCCAAAACCAGGTCCAGTATTACCCCTTCCCTGGTTGGACTTTTTACATATTGTGCCAAGAAACCCTCCTGAATGGTCCCTTTCAAAAATCTGTCTACATATTCTCTCCTCTATCTCCCACTGGCTGTTGGGAGGCCTGTCATATACCCCAAGCATTGTGATTTCACCTTTGCTATTCCTGAGTTCTACCCATTATTGCCTCGCTGCATGAATCCTCTGATGTATTCTCCCTCAGTACAGCTGTGAGATATTCCTGTACCAGTAATGCAACTCCTCCACCCCTTTTACTTCCCTTTCTATCCCACCTGAAACATGTAAATCCTGGGACATTTAACTGCCAGCCCTGTCCCTTTTTCAGCCAAATCTGTGTAATCGCAATAATGTCATAGTTTCAAGTACTAGCCAAAGCTCTCAGTTCATCTACCTTCCTGTTATACTTCTTACATCGAAACACATGCATTTCAGACCAACTCCCCTGCTCTTTTCAGCAGCGTTTCCCTGCCTGTTCTTGTTCTTCATCATGTTTGCCTTGGTTTCTACCTCTCCCTCAAATTATTCATCAACTACTCTACTCTGGTTCCCATCCCCCTGCTATACTAGTTTAAACCCTCCCAACCGCTCTACCAAGTATCCCCCAAGGACATCAGTCTTGGTCCTGCCCAGGTGTAACCTGTCCAGTTTGTATGGGTCCCAATGCCCCAATACCTATTGTGTACTCTGCTTTTGTTGTTGTGGGCTCCTGCAATGTGTAGATAACCAGGAGCCAAGGAATTGTTTACAAGTGAAGATGAGCAGATTGGAAATGGAAATGGGTTACAGTGACGGTGATAGCAGTTGCTGTGACTTTTCAGTTGATCAATCAGAGACATTTTCCAAGTGAATCAATCATTCTGATCTTTTTACAAACCAGTGGAAGATTCTAAAGAAAGACAACAGAACGCTGAGGGCCAGGCTAGCCAAAGAAAGATAATCTCAACATTCGAATCAGGCAGCAAAGACCACTGAATTGACTTTCCGGTTGCTTCTACCTTCGCTGATAATCACTTTTCACTCTTTGTTTGTCTGTGTGTGAGATAGGCAGTTTATCAAGGTTTTAATTGGTAGTTATATGCCAATAATTTATATGTGCCTATCTGTAGCTGTTGTCTAATTGCTTATAAGAAGTAACAATTTTTGTTTTGTATGGAAAAGTGGTCCATACTTTCTATCAAGAATTAAGAGTCTTATGATAACCAGGTATCCGTTCCCGATTGTCTGGTTCACTAATCCCTTTTACGGAAGGAAACTGCCATCCTTACCCGGTCTGACCTACACGTGACTCCAGACCCATAACAATGTGGTTGACCCTCGACTGCCATCTGGGCAATTAAGGATGGGCAATAAATGCTGCCTAAATGTGACATCCTCATCCTGTGAATTAATAAAGAATTAATTTTTAAAAATTAGTATTAGTGATCTTAGTAAAAGTGGCTAGTCCTTGCCATCATAAAAACAAAATATCGCGGATGTTGGAAATTTGAAATAAATACAGAAAGTCCTGGTAAAAACTCAGCAGCTCTGAAGAAACATTAGCTCTTTCTCTCTCCACAGATGCTGCCAGACCTGTTGAGTTTCTCCAGCATCCTGTGTTTGGTCCTTTGCTGTGTTGTTCAGTCTGAATCACAGTATAACAGCATGAGTCGGATTTGCTTCCACACTAATAAGATTCAACTTCAAGTGCTAACTTACATTATTTTAAAAGAATTCTTTTAAAAATTTTTCATTTATATGACAATAATTTTACCAAAGTATTGTATCAAAATAAGATACAAGTTCCACTAACTCTGATTTTGCTAATCTAATATTTACTACGAAGTTACCAAATTGGATAATGTACATTTAACTTTTAAGGTATTATAATCAGAGTTCATTAAATCTACAACTTGTACACCACTTACAGCATTTTTTTTCTATCTTGCATTCAATAGGGCTACAAGTCTACACAGGGATATCCAAGTTTCAAAGTTTGCCTGAAGAAAGAATTTGTCACCAGATAAGTACGTTGAATTTGTAATTTGCTTCTTATTGAAGTGATACTTTCGTGGTTTGGCTAACATACTTACCATTGATGTGGAGGTGCCATGTGGAATGGGATGGATGTGGTCAGAAATGATATGACACCAGGTTATAGTCCAACAGGTTTATTTGAAAACACCAGCTTTCAGAGCCTCACTCCTCCTTCAGATGTTAGGCTCTGAAAGCTTATATTTTCAAATAAACCTGTTGGACTATAACCTGGTGTCGTGTGATTTCTGATACTTACCATTGACATGTACAATGCAATTCCATCAAAGGTTTTTTTTCTGGTTAAGTGTGTGGCCATAATCTCATTAAGCATTAGGATCAGAACAGTGCTTCCGAATATTCCTCAAATTGGAATTGCTTTCTACATTTGACAGTCTGCCTGGCGATTCAGAAAAGACTCTTCAAGTTGTGACAAAGGAACTGAATTACAGTTCTGCTCAAATTGCTTACTTCGATGCTGGTAGCATATCAGTCAATGATTTTAATTATTATGTTGCCAGATGTTTAAAAAAAAACTCTTCAACTTAGGCAAGCAATCAATTTATGAGCTCCTTTTAGTTAATCTAATGAATAGCCATTGTTTCCCCAAATTTCTATACTCAGCTTAAAAGTAACCTTGGGCTGTATTTTCCTAGCCCCTAAATGATGTGGGAAATGGTACGGCAAGAATGGAAAAATTAGATTCTCACCGTTAAGGAATGAAAGTCTGATTTTTCTGTTAAGCTTTGAACAGTTAAATGAGAATCTTGCAAGTGAGTAACAAGGTGCTATTTTCATGCATTAACATCTCATTATTATTTAACCTTTCCTCGTTTATGTCCAGATTGCTATTTCCCCAGGTAATTGAGAAAAACTAGACAGTGACAATTCCCAACATATGGGGCCCGAACAGGTGCCTGCTGAGTGTAACTTGCTGGCATCTTCCTCAGGCCTCCAACTTGGCCAGAGCTCCACAACACCTCAGGTCACACTCCATGGGCAGTGACTGTCTGCACCCTCCATCCATCAAGGCTGGCACCAAGCCCACATATTATTGTGGCATATCTCCAACTCACAACAGTTCACCACCTCAATGCTGTAGTATGCAGCTCACCAACGCTTTACAGTACAGTGCTGCTGCCAGGCCACTTTTCATGCAGGGACAGGCACCTGTCTCATTCGTCAGAACAGGACGTATTTCTGTGCTCTTAGCTGGCTTTCTTAGCACTCACTCACTTTGCACCTACTTGGATGCTCACAGTATCTCTGCATTGCTTTTTTGCACATTGTCAGCTCAGTAGGAACTTTATTGCAGACCTGAAGCCATGCAGCTTGTCATGTTTGCCAGGAATGATCAATCATTGGAGTGAACAGATTAATGTACAAACTGAGGTACGTCAGTCTCGCACCTGCAGCATGTACCAGCAGCTTAAATGGCTATGCACTGAAAATGCTTCAGTCAAATAACCATATCTCATGCTCTGGGGAGATGGTTGTCAGTCAGGGGGGTACCAGCATAATAAGTCAAGGATATCATTCAGTATCAGTCTGAGAGCTCGGACATGGTCAGTTTACCGTTCAGGGTCAAGAGCTGCATATCTTTGCGGTCCAGGAGTGGGAAGCAGTCAGTCCTGCAGTCCAATGCAACAACTCCAGTGATTCATAGGAAGTTAGTTTTGAAGCTGCACAGATATGCTTTGGAATCTGATCAGTCATTATTCAGGGCTGTTGTTTAAGTTCTGAGGAAGGGTCACCGGACCCAAAATATTAACTCTGATTTTTTTCTTCACAGATGCTGCCAGACCTGCTGAGATTTTCCAACAACTTCTGTTTTTGTTCCTGATTTACAGCATGCACAGTTCTTTCAGTTTTTACTTAAATTAAAAGTTGGGCGGGAATATGGGAAGACTCATGCTTGATGAGATTGACAGGGAGTGCAAGGTAGAAAGGAACATGAGGTTTTGGGGGTTCGCAGATTAACAATCTGAATTTGCGTCTCACTCTACGAAGTGCAACTTGTGTTGCCTTCCATTCTCATCTGAATTTTGTGTGTAATTAAAATGAAAAATGGCTTCTACCACACAGAATAGGCAGTGTGTTTTTATTTCTCCAAATTAGAGTGTTTTCTTGCGAGTGATCAGAGGTCCTTCAAAGTCCAATTGCATCAATTAAGTATTTGCACAGTTGACGTTAAAACGATCTGTAATTGCATAATTCTGGATGCAAACTTCATGCAGTGACCAGCTAAGTCCTGGCCAGAACTAACGTTAAGGTTTCTTAAGCGGTTTGACAAGGTAAATGCTGAGATGTTTCTTCTGATGGGAGAGTCTAGGACCAGGGGGCATAGTATCAGAATAAATGGGTGTCAATTTAAGATTGAGATGAGAAGGAATTTCTTCACTGAGGGTTGAGTATCTTTGGAACTCCTTGCCATAGAGAGCAGCAGGGACAGAATACTTGTGTACGTTTAAGACTGAGATAGACAGATAGGTTCTTGATTAGTAGGATGTTCGAGGGTTATAGGGAAAATACAGGAAAGTGAACATGAGAAATGTTGGATCAGTCATGATCCTGTTGAATTCAGAGCAGACTCGAAGGAGCGATTGGCTTACTTTTGTTCCTATTGCTTATGGTTTTGACAATAGCATTGATCATTACAAATCAGTCCTCGTAATGGCTGTGAAGGTGAAATATGTCAGCTAGGCTGTTAAGTTTCATGTAGGTTCCCCAATTCACAATCATGTTGCGAGGTCTAATAGCCTTCACAAGGTTCAGGATTGGTTTACCTCACTCCTTAGAGTTAAAGCGTCCACACCATTACATTATATGCAGTGCTGCCTTTCTATGATCCGGGCACAACAGCTGCTATTGTCTCTATGCCCAATGGCTAAAGAGAGTTTACAAAAATCGAGGAACCAAGGCATCTGGAAATTTAGGACAAGCATCATCCACTAGCAGATGTATAACAGCCTCCTAATCCAAAGTTTCCAGCATCATGATGTGGAAAAAGTGCAAGAGACCCACATTCATTCTTCGATGGAATGTTGTCTGGATGAGAGAGGGGCAGTGGATCTACTGAATGAGTTGTATGAACAAACCTGTGTCAGCAGCATTCAATGTGCAAAAGTAGAAGTCAGAATGTCATGTCATAAGACCCAATGTGTGTGCAATGCAACACCTTCATGAGGTTCCTATGATTTCTCTGATCTGGGAGTTCTTTGCAGTATAGTACAAACTGAAGGTACGACATAATCCTTGTGTGATTTACTCCAGAAAACTGGAGGATGCAACAAGTATATGTGATAGGTAGTGATGAGCCACAGCGTTGTACCAATTAGGAACATAAGGATGTTCATCAAATGGATCATTATCTTCACCACCCTATGGTGCAGCTTCATCACCTGCAGCACCACGAACAGGACATGACAATCATTTTTAACGGGATAGAATCGAAAGAAGTCATCATTTACTGATTGTTGTATGTCTCGATCCTGGAGAATCAAGCATCCCCAGTTAACTCCCATCTGCGAATGTTCTTTCTTTCCTTTGCCTCTTGTTAAGCAAAATATAACATTACAAACTGATGGAAGCCTTCAAAATATCAGATTGTCCCTTATTTAATAATTATGAAGTCTTATGCTAGAATAGGTGCTACAGAAAAATTAGCTGTCCTTCAGAAAGGCTTTTACAGCATTGTGTAGCAGTAATGATGACTATCTTCTCTACTTAATATTCTTGTAGCTGCAGCCAAAATGACAATATCGCACAGGTTACTGTGAAAAGTGAACATATTTTTACAAGTGTGAGATTCTATTTACAATAAAGTGTCACCCATGTGCTTTATGTGCCCCATACAGTTTTCTTTTTCCTTTCCCTCATACTGCATGGGGGTGCAGCTCTGGGGTCTGCAGCTGGGGTGGAGGGAGCCTGCCCTGTTGGTTTGTTTGTATGTTTAGGTGAATGACCCCATGAGCATTGTGGCTAGATGGCCAGTCATGCTGAGCGTGTCCTTCCCAGATGCAGGATCACCCATCTTGACTTGTACATCTACAAGATTGAGGTTTGCAGGCACGGTGACGGTAAGAATGTGCTGGCACCTCTGTAGCGTATTAGGAGGGGAGACTTCCGGGGAGTGGTAGGGGTGAGGGGTGGGGGATGCGGGGGCGCCTTTATGTGACTGAGTCCTTACTGGCACCATCCCTGTTTATTTGTGAGGAACCTAGAGTATGTTCAAGGTCCCTTGCGCTCCTTTTACCTTGCCACTGGTGCTACACGCCAACGGCTACAGTGATGGTGTGTAAGTCTGTGCACGTATTCAGCGGACAGTGTGTGCTGAAGCTAACTCTCCATGGCAGTCACTAACCCGTTTACAGAGACAACCAAATATACATGTGCTGGAACCAGCACAGGACAGATGGCGTAGATGTCTCCAAACGTCAATCCTGTTTGCTGTACATTTCCAACAAACTGGCTGTTGCTATTGTATCAGTTTGTGCATTTTAATGAAGTTATTAATGGCTGACAATATACGTTCCTCTCCTGCCTGGGGCTGAGTAAGTGCCTTATCTCCAGCAGTCCTCTGAGTGCCCGTGTCTTGGGACATTACTTGTTCAACTAGCTACAGAGGCATACCAGTCATGTGCTCATTAGAATGTCCCGCCGAGTCTAATCTAGATAAAGTACCCACATAGTCGTCAGTATTTGAGGTAGAGGAGATGATGTCCAGAGGCACTGGTCTGTTCAGGGCAGACACTGTGAGGGTGTCGCTTGTGCCATCAGAAGGCAAGAGAGCGAATGTTTTGTGAAATATGGGGAGAAGCTTTCTGCATGTTTAAAATTAATCTAGCAGTCATTATGGGAGAGCAATGCAGCATTTGACGATGAATCTTACTTGGTTGCTGAGATATGGAGATCTACACACTGCATAAGTAGGCACAATCCACTCCCGCTAAGGCAAGGATTCTCTCCCCATAGAACAGATGAATATTGGGCA